TAAATCATCAGTATGGCCACTTTCGTAGTAGGATTTATAATGAATCCAAAATGTTAAATTTTAAGATAGAAATTTAAAGGTAGGGTGCCTTTGTTTTCAAATACTCCTCTTAGAAAAGAGTGGAGTGTGCTAGAAAATGTCTTTGGAGTCAGAGAGGCCTAGGGTTAAATCCCAATTCCGCCACTTACTAGCTGTTTAACTCTAAGTTAAGTAAGTTTACTTAATTTCTCAGAGCCTCAGTGTGCTCTCCTATAAATGGAAATAAAATCATCAACATTGTAGGGGCTTTCAAATCTGAGCTAATGTTTCAGCCTTGTTCTTATAAGGAGTTCTGAGAACACAGAGGAGTTACTATCAAAAAATAAATAATAAATCAGATGCAAATTCCACCACCAACCCTATCAATTTAAATCTATGTGAGGTCACATAGAAAACAGTTATTCCCTTTTCTTGATTAAATCCCAAGAAAATGGATGATGAATATGGATCCTGTAAGTTTTTAGAGTTGCAGGAATAAAAGGAGAGGTTTTGGTGGTCTTTTTTGTAGAGCTATGAAAGTGGGGCAGCAAATGCAGTGAGGCATTCTAATCTCGTAAGAAGCATCCTTAATGTTTTGGGGTACCACCAACAAAGGAGTGCTCCCTCCCAGGGAAATTGTGCTCCCTGCGGCTGTCTAGGCAGACCATCAGTGCTGGCTTCTCAGGAGAGTGGCCCTTTATGTTGCATGGCGTGAACTAAGAACCACCAATCAGGTCTTTCATTTGATATGCAAATGTAATTTCCTTTGAATGCAAGAGGATTCAAGACTCCAGTACAGTTTGGAAGTAATAAAACTTTCTCAGCTAATCACTACAGAGCTGAATTAGAAAGCCTACCTGGGTTCTACAAATTGCTTTACTGCAAATGTATTTTCTGAAGAGCATTCAGAGATTCAACGATCCTATCACGTTTAGGTAACTCAAACGAAGTCAGCCTGCACAGTCTACTGTATCACAGCAAGAACTGGACGGAGGACCAGTTACAGCCGCAGCAGGTGGGGGGACATACCTGGGCACTAACCTCCACTCTGTGCTCTGGGTATAAAGTCGATTCTGAATCAAATCCAAGATACTAAGCCTTATCCTCAGCACTAAAACCCAAGACTTCCCCTTAATAAGATCATAAGTTGATTCTTCCCAGAGTTAAAGTGTTCAGGTGAGCGTTTCTAATTAAGGATCCTTTCATCACCAATGCCTTGGGTCATACTTATCAGTGAATTTTTAATGAATTACCATTAAGTGTTAGTCCCCATAAAACAGATGAGATTATGTGAAAATATGATCTCTACCAAAGAGGCTTATATTTTATTTTCAAGATGCTGTCATGGGGAATATTAATTATCACTACAAAAAGCTTTGTTAATAATCCCCACAATAAACTTTCTTTTTCAGTCCATTTCTGTTCCTACTTATAAGCATTTTATAGCTTTTCATTCGTCTTTTTCCCATTGTTGTTTTAACCAATCTAATCACCTTTGTTTGAAAAAAAAATCAAGCCCCTACTGCTATTTTCACTTCTGAGATTTTATAAAATTAACCAGTCTTCATATTTCCCAGGTAATAGGACTTTTCAAATTAATGCACTCTTGGTACACTATCCCATAAGAGTGAGAAAGACTATTTAATATTTACAAAATCTTTCCTAAGTGTGTAGTACACAGCAATAATAAACAACAAGGATGACCTTGGCACTGTTATGTAGAAAGAAACCATTTTATCACATTACCACATCACTCAGAGTCAAAAGACTTGGGTTAGAGAAATAAATTTCTCTTTTCATGTCTACTAATAACAAAAAAACAAAACAAAACAAAAAAACCTGGATATAGTTATTCTATGAGACTTTCAATTCAAAGCTGCTTCCAAAATTACTCTGTATTATAATATAGCAATCAATAAACTTTTAGTTGGGGAAAGCATAGTAAAGGAAAAAGGCAGCTGGGAGTTAAGAGAGTTATATTCAAATTTATATTCTATCTTGGTTTCCAATTTTTAATTTTCATTGGCATTTTATTAACTGGTAGTAGTTTACAACAATGTTTTAATGGCAATCATTCTAAATTAGTTATGAGAAGACATGAGGATGGATGTTTAGTACTAGACCAATTAGGTCAATAAAGTAAGGTCAAAGTCAAGGTAAAAAACAATATCTATGCCTATTCGCTCACCCAACACGTATTTATGGAAACGCTGGTCGGTGTAAAGTGCTCAGTGCAGTGTGTAGGGGAGGGAAAACTTTCCTTCCACCCTCTGAGGGTGTAATAATTGAGTCTATGAGATAAACTGATAGCAGGAAGATTAACAAGAGAAAAGATGTACATATTTACTGTGTGCACAGGGACATCACAAGACAGAAAAGTGAATACCCAACCCAGTGAGATCTAGAAGCTTATGTACCTCCTTCATAGGGGACCGGGTGGGGAATGTAGGCAACTTAGGGGAGAAGAAGTGATTTTGCGGAAAGATGAATGGGCCTTCAGAACAACAGGAAATAGCCTGTGACAAACTCTGTGCGTGGTGTCACCTCCAGTGTCCTCTCCTGTGATCTGAGTCAATTCCCCCTGGTTCATGAGTCCCTTTTGGAGGCTCTGTCTCTAGGCAGAAAGGCGAGTTCAGAGAAAGCCCCTGCCTGCACGTGCTGGTCCCCAAGTGCCCTCGGGTGGAAGTAATCAGCCTACCGAAGACGCATATTTTGGGGTGGCATTACCTAAACTTTTTCATGTGCAACAGGTAATAATTAAATATATTTAAGACAAAGCTTGTCCTCAAGGAGCTTATAAAAAATTATCAGAATAAATCAGGTAAAAAGGTTGGATGGCTAGTATGAACACAATGTTCTTGGAGTTCGAGGTTACAGGGAGCTACGATTGTGCCACCGCACTCCAGCCTGGGTGACAGAGTGTGACCTGTCTCTAAAACAACAACAACAAAGACAAACCTGATACCATGTTCATACTTGAGTAAAGACGGTATGAATATATGCCATAAACTCTGAAGAGTGAGATTATAGGGGCCTTTTAGTTTTCTATACATTTTTTTTATGATTTGGATATTTTTAGAAACATACATTATTTTTGTAATCAGGAAAAAATTAAAATCAAAACAAATGTCTACGAATAAACACTGAAAGGAAACAAGTGAATATATTTGTTCATTTAGGTTGTTGGCGGCTTATGGGTGGATTTCTGTCTTTTTTAAGTTACTGTGCTGTTCTAGCAGAATTTTAATGACGGATTTAATTCAACAATAAAAGAAGTGTATGGAAATTTTAAGTCCTTTGATTTGAATAATTTACTTTGTTCTGTATTAGGAACAAAGGTCTCGCAGCCATTTTTATTTCTAGCTAAAGAGTAGGGCCGTGAAGGACATTAAGGTGTGTCCTCTATTTCTGTTTGTAATCCACTTTTTCCAACTCTCGTATGATGTCCAGTCTAGATGGAAAATGGCAGAATAAACCTCTGTCAGTCTACTTGCCATGATCTGTTTCATTCCTACCTATTATTGGGGTAACTCTTCTACTTTCATTAAAATGGACCGTAGTCATTTATGGTTCCCTAATTTCTAAATGCTTTCATAATGATAAAATGCTGCCCTGAAAAAAAACAAAGAAAATGAAAACGATTCCTGGCTATATTTCAGAAAAGCACCAGCAGCCTTGACCTTCGTGTTTCGAGACTGCCAGATGAAATGGAAAAGGGGCCTTCCTCACTGAAGCAAGTCCTAGTTACATCACTGACCATTTTTCAAATCCTGTAATCTTGTTTTTAGTGTCACTTTAGGCTGAATCATCCTTTTCAGAGAAGGCGCAGAGAGTGGTATCTCTGTAGCTTTTCTTATTTAATACAACTCAACTGTCATTTTAAGTGAAAAAATTCTGACGGAGCATTAAGAAATTTTCTGTTAATGAAGGCTTATGTCCTTCTGGCCACGAACAAAGGGTGTCTGGTACTTGCTAACTCCACTGAAAAACCGTATTATTTTGTAAAGTTAATTATGGATTTCCAAGTATCCTTTAAGCACTAGTAAATTCATTTATTCATTTTGCAAGATAATGGGGGCAGGAGCGGGCAGGGAAGGCTCTCTGTTAGTCCCACTCCACAAACCAAACAATGCAGGAATTGAGTAAGGAACATCCTTATCAGTTATTCTAGTTTGAATTAAGGCTTGACTCAAAATTTCATTTTCATGATAGTTGTGCTTATAAGACTTGAGACCTTGTTTACATTCTTCTTGATAATAATATTTAAATGCTTCTATTTCCTAAAGTCACATTCATCAGAGTCCTGAATAAGGACACTTTAAACTTAAAAACTAGGTCTAGAATGTGACACTGGACATCAACAAAGATATGCTCCTACGTGCCCCTGCATGGTTACTGTACTGCAGTGGGATAGAGACACGTGTCCACAGGTGTTAAGGGGAGAGACCCACGATGGTCTCTGCATGTCGCTGGCATGACTCCACGTCACAAAATAAGAGGGAGCAGAGCAGGCCAGGAATGTGTGGGAGGCACAGAGTTTGCTTAGATTTAAAATGTCTTTAGGAGCAAAGATCTAGCAAAGCAACTTCTGAACTTTCGAAAGAACTGTTTTACTTTATTTTTTTTTAAAGCACCATAGCTTTATTCTTACTTGCAACTAAAAATTTAAGTTGAAATAAAGTATTGGTGAAGTTCTTAATGACAGAGAAGAAAAATACCTTCATTTAAAAAGTCGAATAAGGAAAACACTTTTTGATTCTGCAGTAGACCACTTTTTGGTTCTGGCTCTTAAATTATTATCTTAACAAATTAACATTACCTGGAAATGCCAACTTCTAGTGTTATTTGAGGTGGTAAGTTACAGAGCTCACCCCCAAAAGTGAAATTAACCTCTAGTCGGTTTCCTCTGCTTTCAGCTGCGTCTTTATGAATGAAGGCAACGCTCAACAAAGAACCCATAAAATGAAATGATGCGGACCAACCTTTTATTGCACCCACAATATTTTGGTCTAGTCCTTTCCGGTTGTCATTGAGTCCTCTTTTCCTCTTCCCATTGGGTAAGGAGTTAGCCAAAGTCTTGTCATCAAAAAATGCACACACCAGTTTTCTAAACAGAAGGCTTCCTGAGCGAGTGTAGTTTGACAATATAGAGTCCAGCTGAGATTTAGGCATAAACACATCAAAGCCTTCAGCAAGTTGCACTTCTGGCTACCAAAAGAACATAAATATTTCATTAAAAGCAAGATTTGAAGCATTTGACTTTGGGCAGATGTACCACAAACAAACAAACAAAACAACATCATCAGCTACTGAAGTGTCCATATCCTACAAATGAAACAGTCTCAGCTTTGTGTGCTAATATTTGCAATTTATAAAACCAATGAGTAGTTTTAATTCACAAAACAAGATGCTCTAATCCCCATATGAAGTCTTGTCAAAAGCAATGGAAAGGAAGTAGTTAAGAGAAGGCTGGATAACTACACAACCATATCATTCTAGAGCTGTCGAGGAGCTGAGACTTCTGGCTGAAACACCCTCATTTTGTAAATGAAGGAACTAAGGCCCAAAGAGATCGTAACAAAAATGACTTTAAAATAATCCAGATTTGCTCGTTGCATTACAATTTACAGATCACTTTCTCTTAAGGACGTAATTTCTTTTACTTGAGGACACAAATACAGGGCTACCTGATGGCCCCCTGATGGCTCTTTCTACTATGCCAGTGGCTTTCAGCTGTGGAACTATGTTTTACCCCAATGAAAACTTATGTAAACTAATACGTAACATATAAAAATGACGAGCAGGTTCCCAGGCAGTTTAAATCCACCCCCACCCCTACTTTTGAGAGGAAAATCAGCGCACTAGTCACACTGCTTTCCTGTCAGGGACTTCCTGACCCAGTTACAGGATCCAAAGACCTACAAGGTGCCTTTCAACTTGGACTCTACCATATGACGCCAACAATGCTGTCTCCATCGGCACACAGGGATGTTTCCAACCTGCCTTTTCATCTTTCCATCCAGCTCACGTCCTTCCCTTCCCTTTCCTTTCCAAAGCCTTTCCTAACTCATTCCTGTTCATGGAGATGGCTATGCACTCTGTTTCTGCTGTTCATTTAACAGACGTACATGATTGAATTAATTACACTGCATCAGAATTATTTATTAGATTGCAGCCCTTCCTGATCCTGGAACCCACTCTGTATCTCTAAGATCTGGCACATAGTAGGCACTCAATAAATTCTTGCTGGACAGATAGTCACAGTTCATTAGTCATAATCTAAACTACTAAGTCATTTAATGAATTTATTGTTGGTTATGTGGTAGCTTTAAAATAATGACTTTAATATGAAGAAATGCAATTGGTAAACTTTTATTAGCAAAAAGTCAGATGTAGTATCAAAGCTGATTCTCAGATCTCGTACTTATCACTTTGCAAACGTGGCACCGTTTTAGATTTTCTAAATCATATTAGAAATGTGAGGATTTGGGATTAGTTTCTGTCCTGGAGAGTAGGAATGATTACTTTTGTTTTTGTTTTATTGCTTTTCAACACGTCGGGCACACTATGGTCTGAGCAAACAGTGCTCAGAGCATGGCTTAAATTATTTGGATGACACAGGAAGGAGTTTGGGCCCCTTAAAAATGGCATTTTTGACTTGATTATCCAGAAAGTCATCTCACTGTGCCATCGGATTTTTCCTCTGACTTCTGCATTTTGCTGCCCGCTGGTCCCAGGTCTGCAGAGGAGGCTGTCTGGAGCTGGAGGCTGTATCCCTAATTCCTACGACAGAGCTGGCACAAACCAGGCACTCAATAAGTATTTGTTGAATGATTCCATGCAGAAATATTAGGATGGAGAGAACTTTACCATCATAATCTAACACGAAGTTTTATTTGTAGTCACAATTTTATTTTGCACATCCTATGGCTGCATGTAGTTTTTGTTCTGAATGAACTGATCTCAGATTTTTGCTAAGTGTTCCTGTATCATTTGAAAGCTATTAAAAAAATCTAAGTTTATCTTCTAGAAGCAGCTACTCACAGCTATTTGAGGGTACAGGGTCGTACAGAAGCTCTTAATTGCAAGAGCAGGAAGAGAACATCAACTTATTCATATAATCCTCAGTTTGATTCTGATGCCATTAAATGTGCTTAAAACCCAGCCACCTGACCTATGAGACACCCCCTTTGATTTATCCTGTGGAACTTGGACTTGAGAAACACTGGCCTGAATGAGCCCCCAGGCAGAACTAGCCACTCCCGTCTTCATGCACTCATGGTGTTTTCTATGGACTCTGTGACACTTTCCACGCTGCACATACTTAGCTGCGAGTTTGGGTTTCTCACCGGGACGGGGACTCTCTTGAATCTGGAGTGCCAACCACCCAGATAGTGTCCAGTGGATATTTGTCAGAATAAACAAAACATCATGCAAGAATTCATTCTAAATGACGAGTGTTGGTTCAGAGACCTTTTAGCCCCATATAAAGGAAGTGGGTTTGAAAGTCTGCCCCGCCGTGGCTCAGCGCACTGATGTCTTCTAGAACAGTTCATGTGCCAACTCCAGAAGTTAGGCTACCTGGAGAAAACTGATCACTGATTAAATACCTATTCAATGAGCACCCTCTGTGTGCGGGAATCTGAAGGCTGGCTCTGCAGGTGAGACGTACACAGAAACACCTGTCCTACACGGTGGAACAGGATACATGCTACAGGAGAGGTACAGAACAAGTGCTGTGACAGCACCCGGCAGGACATGGCTGCAGGGGGTGGGGGGCAAGGGGACAGGGGGCTTGGGCAGGGATAGGACAGCAATAGCATCTTAACAGGGCCTTGAAGGGGGCATTGAGGAGATGGGTATAGTTGCTGTTTCTGGCATCCACACCTCTGTGGAGCCAAGGGACTTCCTATGGTAGCATTCTGGTCTCTGAGGTTCCAGCCAATGCAGACGCCGTCACTGCTTTCTGTTCCACTTTCTACTGCCACACAAAGGCTGTTATTTTGAACTGATCTTTCGAGATCGCGGAACAGGAACTCACCGCCAGGTCAGCACCTTATGAAGGAGTCGGTAGTCTGATGGGTGGCGGAGGTGGCAGCAGCAGCAAGGGGACAGGTGCCTGAGCTCTGCCCCTTCCTGCTCCTCACGGAGCACATAAATTTAAAAACAAGCTAAAACTCTTAAATTATATCACTGACTCTCTTCTTTTGGTTGACTGGCTCTGGTTTAAACTTACTGCTTACTCATGATAGAAACTATTTATTCCAAATGAATATCATTTTAAGAACTAGACTTCCCTTGACAGATTCACTCTTTGATAGTCAGGCCAAGACAGACAGCTAATACGTTCATTGACAGATTCTACTGATCACTGAAGTACTACGATCTTTAAATGATGACATTCAAGGTTGGGGCAGAATTTATGACACAGTCATCATTTTAAGAGTCTGAATCCCCACTATAAATGTGGATTTTCATATCCAATCTATGTCTTGCCTCTTTTAGGTGCCTCAGCCACTAAGCACAACAACGTATCAAGTGTCCAGTGGCGTGACATCTTACACTGGGTGAAGTTCTGGAAGCAGAAACTGTACATTGTCATAATGACTCTTGAAAATGTCCCTGGATCCAGGCCTGCAAACATTAACTGGTTTGTTTCTTTGCACTTCGGCTGTGGTCTCCCTTTGCTTAGGAGCAGCTGGGGCTGAGATCTAGTTTGGGTGGGGGCTCTCCTAACCAGGTACATGAAAAGATTCCCCCACCCCCCACCGAAGTCCCTACGGGCCTATCATGTGACTCTCTTGTATAATCTGAAGGGAAAAAAGGAGGACAATTTTAAGATTGTACAAATTGATCACCAAGGGACTATCTCTGATATAGGTTTGCACGAGGTCACTTGGCGATTTGAGGGGCTAGGCTGGCCCCAGGGCCAAAACCTGGAACTATAGACAAAGAGACGCATTCTACTGAATAAGATGAACTGATTCTGGACTGAAAAGCAGTAACAGGATTAATAAGAACGTTTAGAGGATGTGGATTTAGTCTTCCTATTTGCATTGGTGTATAAACGATCTTTTATTCTCATTTGGTGTTATATTTATCTTGCAGTATATTAGACATATTTCTACGAAAACGTGCTTTAGTTTATGAAAAGAAATTTTATTTACTTATTTTTTTTTGAGACAGGGTCTCACTCTGTCACCTAAGCTGGAGTACAGTGGCACAAGCATAACTCACTGCAGCCTCAAACTCCTGGGCTCAAGCAATCCTCCTGCCTCAGCCTCCCAAGTAAAAGTTTCCAATTTAAACCCTCCTCTATTTTTTTGTGTGTGTTTGTGAGACGGTCTTACTCTGTCACCTAGGCTGGAGTACAGTGGCATGATCACAGCTCACAGCAACCTCCAATTCCTAGGCTCAAGGGATCTTCCTGCCTCAGCCTCCTGAGTAGCTGGGACTACAGGTGCACGCCACCATGCTTGGCTAATTTTTCTGTTTTTTTATAGAGCTGGGGGAGGGTCTTTCTATGTTGCCCAGGCTGGTCTTGAACTCCTGGGCTCAAGTGATCCTCCTGCCTCAGCCTCCCAAAGTCCTAGGATTACAGGCGTGAACCACCCCACCTGGTCTTTTCTTTTTTAGAAAAGAATTTCTAAAAACCACAAACCCCCATATAATTAATTTTATTTTGCTCATACATGTGATCTGCTTCTGTTTGAGAGAAACTAAAATTGTTCCTGTAATTCAGGTCTGCTCCAGGTGGACTTAGCAAGAATTCCTGCTACCACTTATTAAATGCTACGTTGGGAACATGCCCAGTGAGCCAGGAGGCCACAAGAACTCTCGAGACTGGGTGGCTCGGGGACACAGCAGGGCGGAGAACCCCAGCAGTGATGGGGACAGAGCACGGTGCGCTACACTGTGTGTCCTACGTCAAGGCTGATGGTGTAAGGTGGACACTCTACATGCAGTAAAAAATGCTCGGCCAAAAGTTCTGTCAAAATGTATGTGTAATCCATGTGCTGGCATATATATATTTAATGTTTACTGGATAAAAATTATAAGAAGTCGTTAAAGAGCCAGTCCTTTACAGATTTTTTATTTAACCAAATTTTGGTAGAACTAAGAATGTAATTTTAGAAAAGAACACAATTTGGTCTCTTGCAAGTTTTTTTCACGCCCTTGCATAATGAGACATTTCAGTCTTTTAGAGA